TGGCATTGGAACTCACAGGTCGTTCACAGTCTCTTCACAACGGAGCAGCTCCTCTCCTGGAAAATGAACATGGAATCCAGAGAAAGCTTCGATGCATTTCGAGTATTCATTCTCGTTCGTAGAAACTCGGTGTGCCCACTTTTTCCTCCGATTTGGGGGTCTTCGTTCTCTTGGCCTCGTGCGACGTCCTCTCCAGGACGCTGAGGCTGCCGCCTTTATCACTTACACGCAACAACTCTCGAAGGCCGCCCGTGAACGCCGAACATCCGAACGCACGGGCCGGGGAGCTGAAGGTGCGTGCCGAGGTTGAGCGGGAAAACGTCTGAGGGTCGGACAAGAGATGTTCTGCTTTTGGAATGCTGAACGAGGAAAAATCTCTTTTGAACCGCCACAGCTTTTGGAAGCTGATCATCCCCACAGTTGGATAGCTACTAGAGATGTGTCATGATGGTCGGAGGCGCCAGTGTGGCACCCCGGTGGACCGTCAACCGTGAATCCGGTGAGGCCGTTATCAATCAATTTCAAGAAATCCAAGGTTGTGACCTGCAACATGTCAACGAGGAGACAGGTTTGCGCTCGCAATAGGCAATATGGAACTTATCATAGACCCTTTTTGATATACAGGATCCTGCGCAAGGTCAACAACATCATTTCTTCAGGGGCTTCAGTTTTGCCTAACTTGGCACCGGTGCCACTTGTTTGGTCGCTCGAACTCTGAAGAAGAAAGTCTTGAGGGGCCTGCATGGGGATTCTCATCAGTTCACCTGACAAGTAAGAGTTGAGGCCAAGCGATTCAACTTCGAACAAGGGCCGGGTAAAAGGCAGAAGGCTTGTTTCTGGCCAAATCCTGCCTTATCGAGTAGGCACACTCACAAGATGATGGTGAGGATGTTCTCTGTTGATGAACGAAGTCCTGCTCTGGCCGGAAAAGATAGGAATATCGTTTGCCAGTGGATCTTACAGTGGACAACGCATCCCTAGGACCTAGGATATCCACGATGCAGGATTGTCTGTCTACCGCCTGTCCCAGGGGTGATCTGAGGGAAGCAGGGCCTGCAGTTCCCATTTGTCACCGGTGGGTGTGCGGGGTTTGAGAGGCAGCTGTCATGAATTCGACCAAGAAACCTCTAGAATAAAGGATCCAGCACCTCTTTCTGCTTCCGGAGCTGGCTTTTTTCAGCACTTGCAGAGACAGCTCTCTGCAATTTCGAGCGTAGAGCTTGGCTCTCGGACCCCAGACTTTACTGCGTTCCTCGAGCCGCGGTGTTTTTTCCCCCCCGAAATCTGGGCCAGCCTTGGCTCAAGTTTGGAGATAGGGGGGGCTGTTGTGCGATCTGGAGATGTATGGCCGAAGATGCCCAAGACCCTTTCTAGCTTCCTGTTTGGTCAAACTGGAGCGTTCTCAGTTGTGTGAAAGACATGGACATGGACGCTTCGAGTTTTCCGACCTGAGCTTCATTTGTTTTCCCCATTCATTACCTGTCTGTTTGTCTGGCGAAACTCGGGCTCAGTTACGCCGGATGGTCTCTGCACAGCATGTACAACACTTGTGAAGGACGGGGGTTTGTCTGTACACGCGGAAACCGGATCGTCTGTCCATGTGGTTCCCCGGATCGTATGCATATGCGGATTATTTGTTTAATTTGGACTCTTGTTTTAGCTACTAGTAGCAAAGGATTACTACTAGGAGCAAGGACGCTACTAGGTCGAGGCCATCGCTATTAGGTTGGAGGCCATCGCTGTTAGGATGGAGGCCATCGCTACTAGTAGCAATCCGGCGCTGTTTTCGATGCCCAAGAGGCCGGCTGCCGCGGTCCATCGGCGCACCGACCGATTCGGGTGAGATTTTGGCCTTCCGCATCTTCTAGGCTGAAGAAGGAAAGACACATGCAGCTATAAAAGACACACGTACCTGTGTGAACCCCAAACATGTGTCCTCCCCAAAAAAATCCAAGCACCATAAACATGCACAAGAGTCACACATTCACAATCATTCACATACTTCTTTTGGGGGGGTCTCGTTTTCCTTTTTTCCTTGCCCGATCCCATTCTGAACTGATGGCGTTGGATCCTCCCTTCGGTCACTCCAACAGCCCCTGTCATCTCTGCTTGTCACCGGGGGTCCACCGCACTGCAGGGCCGTCGCAGGGTGCGGTACATGTCAGGCAAAGGTAGGCACAAGAGGTAGGCGTGGCGTTGGTCTGACTGGATAGTGACAATACGTAGATACAGAGCTTTTCCCTGATTGGCCAAGAATTCAGGTTGGCGATTCTTTTTAAGCATCACAATATAAAGTTAACATCGAATTCTTGGCTCGAAAGCATTCAAAAGCCAATGGAACAGACCTTGGTAGTCATTGTACAGTGCCACTTTAGTGGTCCGAAAGCATGACATTGGGCTGGCTTTGCAGGGATTCTGTCGACCAATCTGGTGACAGAGACTCGAAAAGGCCCAGCCAGGCGAACTCGAGAGTTCGCCCCCGATGCCTCGCAAAATACGTCCAGTTTTAAGGAACCTTTTGCAGCCGCGATGGATCGCTCGATGCTGAAGGCATCGGAGTGTTCAACACGGCGGTACTGAAGGCCATCCTGCTGTGTCGACAGCACGGGCGCACCAAAGGGCAGTCCCAGTCAAAAGGATCGTCTTATGGTTTGGAGTGCGAGAGGATGTAAAGCGTGAAGATGCGCCTGTCCATGAAGAAGCATGATACTCTTCCGGCCATTTGGTCCCCAAACATGGCCTTTTCCTATTAAGAACAGGCGTGAGAGGGAGGTTTAGGCATGGAACGTGCCCATGAAAAAGTATTCTCTTCATTCATCCTGACCATGGTGTAGCTGTGGGGTGTTTGTTCGTGGGGCGTCAACGGCCCGCAACCAGTGGGATCGGGGAGGATTCATTCCCAAAGCAGAAATCGACCAACACCACATTCACGAAATGTCACGAAGAAGTCTGAGGAGACCAGGCTGGGATGTTGAGCTCTTCTGAGAAACTTGCGAACATGATTTCGACCTGGCCAAGAAAGGCCCCAAGGCAAGATTGGCATCTGGCAAGGTTTGCAGCGCATCGGGTCACCAGACGGACCTGCGTCTTAGGCTGTGGCATGAATTGTTTGGATACCGTCCAAGGAGAAAAACATCTCTTCCAGTCAAAAGCTGTAAGCGGAAACATCTCAGAAACCACGCATGTGAGACATCCTGAGACTGGTAAAACAGTTTTTCATTCTGATGTTTGGGTTAGGGATTATACATAGAGGGTATATAGTCCATAATTAGATGATTTGTATAGATGACTTAATTCCCGCACACCTTCTCAAGTCAGAGATGACTCAATTCCTCTTCGAGAGCGGCATGTTGCGGCTATTTTTGCCAGATGGGCGGCCGAGAGCTGGCTTGCTCGGGGGTTTTCCTTCCTGGATGCCTTGGATCGATTGTTCATGCCCTCTCCGCATCGCCAGTTCTGAAAAAAGACGTCCGCGTGGCGGGAAGACATCGCCAGTTCAGGCAGTGAACATGGGAATGTCTTCAATTGGGGAGCTGATTTTTGGGTATGTATTTTCTCGAGGGAGACCCGCAGTTGGACTTTTCGGGCCAGAAAAGGATGTGAAAGGAACCATCGACTACGGTTTTGTAGAACGGTTCGGGGGGGGGGTCTCCCGAGTCTAATACATACTCATGGATTCGAGACTTCCCACATGGTGGATGGAAGGGGTCACAACACTGAGACTTCCCCTGAAATTCACATGAAACCTTGAAGACCTTGCAGGTGACTTCCAGACAGATCCGACAGACCAGATCGACAAGCCGACAGACCGACGTGCAGTCTGTTAGTACAACAAAAGATCCGAGCTTCGTTCGGACTCCGTCCAACTCCAGTCCCAGTCCTGGACCGGGTTGGTTTGATCGTCGTAGGGGATTGGACCTGTTTTTCGTAGCTTTCCATAGCTCCAAGCCGTCGGGAAATGGACCGTACTCTAGGGATTTTCTCGGCTAAAAGCTGGTCGAAAATCTCTTCATCTTTATACTGCTAGGTTAGAATCCCTACTAAACCATCTATTAGGGAGCCAACAGCCTCTGTTCATGCGGCTTGGAGGGAGGGTCTCCAGTTTGCTGGGAGCCTCATTGCCTCATTGGTTTGATGCTTCCGGACGCGGAAGTCCTAAAGTCGCCCAGGGAGCGAGTCCTGCCGGGGAACAGGAGACAAGAGACCCCAAAAGGAGAACATGCAAGTAAGTAAAACATGGCCTGGCCAGTTTCATGATTTCCCTTGGCAAAAAAGAGTTCTGGCCAGTTCTTTTTCACTGTTTGTTCAATGTTGCAGGTGCTTTCAAGAGTTTTGCCCACAAATCCCTTCGAACCAGGTGTGGGTGGATCCCTATGCAAAGATGGTTTGCTGCGCACATCGTCAAAGGTTTAACCTCAGTTTTCATATTTTATATCCGAGTTGTGCCACCGACGGTAAGAAGCAGTGTGGGTTGGACCACTTAGAGCCTTGCTTGTTTTGCTCGGTGATCCTGCAGATGCTTCTTCTCAAGCCACAATGAGGTGTTTTGACGATCAAAAGGCCATAGCTATGCCATAGGTGGTTTATACCTGGGTCTCCCCATTTAGTCTCACCCTTTGCCCATGATCTCCTTGTATAAAACTTGTAACATCATGGTGATTCAAGGATCAAAGAGGCTTTCCGGAGCGGCCTTGTCGCCCTTGTCGCGACTCGGCGACGAAGAGCGACTCGGTCACAAACCAAGACCTTGGCCAGTGACGGTTCCCCCCTACATAGGTTTGAAATTAAAAACCCTTCCGTTCACGATCGCTGAGGAACACTTTGGAGGGGGCGTTTGATTTTTCAGATCCAGGGGTCTAGCTTGCACGAGTCGCGTTTTGCATCTCGAACTGAACAGATCACGGATACAAAGTGCAATGTTTAAATCTGAGGGGTTTAACTGAACATCGAAAAGGGATCTGATGATAAAGTTCTTTATGTTCTTTCTTTGAGTTTATTGAGGGATTTTCACCCCGGAAAGACGCCATGGAGTCATCGGTGCGGACGAAGCTCCTGGCGGGTGCAGCACAGGTCTGCATTCAAACCAGCGTGGCTTGGCAGAAGTTGTTTTGGAGGCATTTTGATATCACAACGGCCAAAATAACCATGTCGGGCAACCATATGCTTTGCCCATTTAGAGGGTTAAGTTGGTCTTTCGGAGTATGGTGAAGAGACCGGTGGTGAAGCAAAGTAGCAGAACTTGAATTGAGCTTCTCAGCTTTTCTCCATAGGCCTCTGTCTTAAGCCGCACGGAAGTTCTGACTGTCGCATCCATTAAAGAAGAGATGTCCCCTCTCTTTGTCCAAGGACGGAATAGACATAGATGGGTCCAGCTTAACTCAAGCCAGGCACAACAAACTGGCTTCGTTGCTCAAAGGTTCGCCTCGGATGCCCACTTCGAAGGTGATGCCAATCTAATCAGAGTTCTCGTTTCTCAACGTTCTTTCTGTTTGGGATACCCAGATACCCGGATAAGGTGTGATTCTTCTTCCGGTTCAAGGAAGACGTGGACAGCTTCTTCCAAAGCATGTGGGTCAGTGCGGTCTCCACAATCGTCAAAGGACGAGTAAGTGCCTCTCAGGTGGTGCAAGAGAACCTCTCCCTCAATGGTCAAATAATATGCGATTGGATAGGTCTTGTTATTCCAGGGCCTCATGCAAGAGGAACGACTTACTTGAGGTTGTCTAGGCCACACATCAACGTGTGATATGCAGAAATGTGGAACTATATAATAGAGAATCAGACTACCCCCGAAATCCCCCAAAAGGAGAATACTGTACATTAGAGCATTCCAGGCATCCAGTTGACTACAGTACCCCCAAATGGGGAGATGAAGGGACCGACGAGTCCTGATGAAGGGCGGAGTCAACACTGCCGTGGGACCAACACGATACCAGGCAGACCAAGCTCAAGCTCTGTGACGCATCTTCGTTGTCGAAATACTTATCTTTTGCCCACGTCTTGCATGTAATTAAATGTGTGAATTCTCATGTCACATATGCCCATGTCTTAGAGGTAAACACTTTCATCTCAAATGTACATAAATTCCGTTTGGACACCATTCTTTTTGTTTTGGCGCTGTGAACGCGGAGGGCTTCGCCCACCTTTCGCCTCATCGCTGGGCGGGTGGTTCCCCAGCGATGCCCAGGTGGGTATCCTCTACAAGGCTCGACAGCGGAAAGCGGAAAGCGGAAAGACGGCACGCCGGCCGTGGGGGGTCGTTGCCTCCTCATATGTAAACTCACATGAGGCAAACCATTACATGACATTCATGCCTTAGGATTTGAGGATAAACTAAACAACTTTTGAGATGTTGAACCTTTGTTGACTAGATGCTTTGATTAGGGATTGTCCTGTTGGACAAGACAATCCTCAAGAGCCGAGAGTGTTGAGCTAACTCCTGCACCGTTACGGATAGGCACTATATACCCACTCTACTGAAATACCTCAAGGGGGCTCATCACTCCCTGCAAGATCTTATCAGACTTTATATCAGACTTGAGCTGTGAGCTCTTTAGGTCCATCCACCTGGGCTTAGCCAGCTTGTGCCCGTGACTTTCTAACACGAAGAACAAGGACACCCGTGGATTCCCACTCACCCACATCCCAGACCTGAGTCGTCCGTCCCAGACGGGTCGCCGCGACCTCGGGAAGTGGCAACCGAGGTGTCCCAGGCAGCGACCGGAGGCTTCAAGTACTCCACGACCTCGGCGATTTGCATGGCGCGCCCAGGGCGCCGCACGTGCCGCGTCGATCTCGTCGTCGCGGGGGCGGCTTCGTCGTCGCGGGGCGTGTGTTCCCGGGCTTCGACCTCGGTTTGGAGATGGAATGAAAGAACAGTGGGGGTTCGATGGGTTGGTGAGCGCCTTTTTGCTGCTTGTCTTCTCACCAGGGTTAAACGGTTATCTGTATACCGTATACAAATGGTTCTGAAACAATTGGGAGCACGTTAGACTCATGGCAAAGGTTTCGAGAGTCTACGAGGAGGTTCTTAAAAGGCTGCTTTTGTAATTGTGGGTTGATGCCCCTTAGCAAGCGCATGGGGACATTGAAGTGGGCACCTGGGACTCCAAATGTGGCATACCGCCTTGGCATTTACATGGTGGATGACAACAATGGAGACTTGCTATCTCAGCACCTGGATGAAGCCCACGAGAATCCTGCGTGGAGGAAGACAACCCTGTCCTAAATTGATGCACTCCGGAGCACGTCAAACCATTCATCTGGCAGACATAATCGTGTAGACGAGTGACTCAGCAGACTTCAAGAAGGACCTTGACATTTCGTGCTGAGCCTGGCGAGCTTCATCTTGGAAGAGCTAGGAGACTCAAAGTGGCGTGCCTCCAGCTCCAGCACGCAACAGTGCCTCCAGCTCCAGCTTTCTTGGTGTTTTGCTCTTGATTATGTACGTGGTCTCTGCTGCAGTTCTCAATCCTTCTTTGGCTGTGAGAGTCGAGCGTTCACAAACAGAGGCACAGCCAATCAGATCAATCAATGCAGAAGATCAGCAAGACGATTAGCATGAAATCTTCACCAGCTTTAGTCAGGTCACTGATCTACTTGTCCTACATGTTAAAACAAGCAAAACACACACAGCAAATCCGCATCTTTTAAACAGACCGAACATGTTCCTCAAGATAGTGGCTTTGCAACCTGCAACGGGTGAACCCCCCCCAATAGGAAACGCAAGTGATTTCGTTTGAGGGTTTGACGAAGGACTTGGACACCTGGCAGAAACGCGTGGTGCTCTGCCGTGAAGCAGGATTTGTTCTTCGGCTCTTTCTAGATGGTGGTTTCCCGGGCGAACCGGGTTGAACCTTTGGGAAAGCGCGCACTTCCCGGTTGATCTTCCAAGGGTTCGCTGGAAGTGAACTGACACCTCTCTCGTATGGGAGTGGCACAAAAGGTTTGACAACGGACACAAGTGATGGAGCAACCCGGAGTTCGTAAAACTCCACCATTTTCATTCATTTCCTCAGGTTTCCTCATGCAAAATAACTTTTTAATACCTGGCAGCCCGATTGGCTCCAGGCCTCAGAATCAACTATTTGCTTTCCTGGTTTGTCTCAAGAACACAGGTCTTGGACTGTTCGACTGTTGATTTCTGGTGGATAGCGGTCAGCGGTTGCCACATGTTGCCACCCCAAGTCCAAACCCACATGCGTTTTGGGATGATGACTTTCCAACAATCATTATCGCCTCTCCACAAGGAAATTCTCCACTTTCATGATTTTCACCACCTGCCAGGTGAGGATTATTAGATTTTGTCAGAGATGTCCTGGTCCTCCTCCTCCTCCTCATCCCAGTGGGCACTATTGGACCCCAACCGCGAGAGCTAGATCGCAGTGATCACCACGGGACCTCAACAGCGAGCGCTAGATCGCTGTGGGCACCACCGGACCTCAACGAATATATGTCAGTTAAACTGTCAGAATATGTGCCAAAAAGAATGTCAGAATACATTTCAATAGAATGTCGGAAAAGATTCCACATAGAATGCTAACATAAATGCCAGAACATGTGCCAGTAATGTCAGAAAGAATACCAGTCAGAAAATAGATGTGTCAGATAAAATGCCAGAACATGTGCCAGATAGGATGCCAGAATATATGCATGCCAGAATTTGTTCCAGAATGTTTGTCAAACACCATGCCAGACAAAACGCCAGAATGTATGCCAGATAGAATGCCTGAATATATGGCAGGTAGAATGCCAGAATGCATGCTAGATAGACTACCAGATAGAATGCCATCATTTGTGCTAGTATATTTGCAAGATAGACGCTTTCTTGGTGATGTTGAAGCAGTTTGGCCGTCGGTTATCAGCAGAGTGTAATGCCATGGTGGGGATCACTCAAAGTTAAGTAGTTTCTAAATTTCTATGACAGACCTGCTTTTGGACCTGCTGATGAGACCCACGCGGACGCGATGCATCCGGATGCCGCAGGCTGAGTTTGTGAAGCTGGTGCGCCTTGGAAGGGGGGTGGGTGGCTGCGACTGGAGGTAGAGTTTCAACAGCTGCTGTTTCGTCCCAGCTTGGTTCCCTTGGTCGAGAAGGTCCGAAAAGGCTGTGGTTGGCCAGAATTTGCCATCGAACTCACACCACACGGGGACCGAGCGGCGCTTGTTCCGCGTTGAACTCACTGAACTTTCACACGCCCAACAAAACGAGAAGATCTGGGCAAGACCCGTGGCAGGTGGACTTTGAGACACATTTACGTACTAAAATCTTCAGCCGTTTTGAAGCTGCCGCTCACCCTGGAGCAACTTCTGGAAAAAAATATCTTTGGTAGAGTCGAGGAAGTTGATGGAAAAAAAAACACCGAAGGAAGCGATGGGCCTATGGGCCAGGAACATGATTCCGGTGTAGTCGTGACCTTTTTCTTGTCCAGAGTCACCAGGTTTGGACTATCAAAATCACCAGGTTTGGACTAGCAGGGTGACAAGATCTGGACATGTAGACTTGTTTTGAGACATCGCGTTCATTCTCTACTCTTACGAACGAGAAACACAGTAAGTCCCATGCTGTCGCATGCTGCATCATGCTGACTTGAGAGATTGGGACTTCCACATTGACGGTGAAAGAGTTGCTCACAACACGGGAGAGGTCCGCATGTGCGTCTGAACCCTGGAACATCTTCCGTGGAGGAGGGCAACTCCGGTTTCCCCACGTGATTGTTTGGGACGTATCCACCAAGCGAACTGCGCCCTAAACCATTGGTCTGTGAACACGCAGTGACGAAATGGCGTCTCTTGAGTTTGGCATTGCTCCTTGGTGCCTGTAAGTGCAAAAACCAGACCCTCAACCAACTCAACCAACTGATTGCTATGGGGAGGTCGCCCTCGTTTGAGACAAAGCCACATCAATTTGTTGGGATGTGCTTGGTGGTTCAGCTTTGTTGTGTCGCAGTTGATGAGTGCCAGCTTTCACGTTCTCGCATCTTGGCTTTCGGTGGGTGAGTGTTCACGGCTTCGAGGTAATGACCCTCCAACAGACAGACTCGAAACATGCGCGGAACAGGCACCAATGGATGAAACAAGGCTTATACCCTTGCGTAGGCTTTCGGTGGTTTCAGCATCCAACAATGAACTCAACCGCAGGGTCAACACAGCAACGACCAAAAAACACGTCTATCACACACAAACTCAAATACATCGGATAGGAACCACCGGCATGGTGACAACGCATGAACCTCTGACGTCACGAACGGTCGGAGGGTGAACAGGCATCCAGCCCCGTCCAAGCTCTGGAGACAGAAACGTGGGGACCACGTGGTCACCAGAGGTGTCGGTTCCAAGGAGCTCCTGGCATCAAAGATTCATCTTGGGTTGCTGAGAGGAGACGGTAAACCGGTGGGTTTCGGCGTCACCGCCGTGGATATCAGGAGAATCCTATGTTAGATTATGTTAGTGAGACTCATGAGTGTCCGATTATCGTACTTTCTTGGCTTTTCTCCTGGAATCCAGGAGAAGTGCAGAACTTGAGCCTCTTCGACCGTAGGATGGATGGGTCATTTCCTCCAAAGCCGTATGATTGGGCGGGAACATACGCGGACCAGTTCATGCTGGATCCTTGATTTTGAAAGCACCACATCCAGGATCCAACCAAGGATACAGGAGAAGAGACCAGCATTTTGGGGCAGGAACAGGCCTGACACATGGCCTTTTAAATCCTGAAGCATCGGTGAATCGAAAGAGAGGCGCTCCATTCGCAGGCGGCACCGCACCGAGGACCGCTCGCATTCGCAGGCGGTGAATCTACAGAAAGCTTGGAGCAATGCCAGAGAGACTCCGTTGCAAGGCAACCAGTGCTGTGGCCAAAAAAAAACCACCAGTTGAGGGGGCCTAAGGAGGACCACAAATGTATACATGGCAGGGGCAGGTACTTACCTTTCTGCTGTATTTTCAGGTATTTTCAATGGATTCCAGGCAAAACCCGAAGGGGTCTTCTCTAAGGCATCACTCCCTGCCGAGCCATTCGTGTCGGATTTTCTTTTCTTCCAAACCCAATCGACGTCTCAGCGCCGCAATCAAACAGAGATGCGCTAAGGCAGTGGCTTTTGCCACCATGGTCAAAGCATGATGTGGAAAGCTGTCCTCTTTTTCGCAGGGACGCAAAAGAGTCAACAGCTGAAGTAAAGCAGGCTTAACATAGGAAAACAATCTCGTTTACTGTCGGTTGGAGGCCATCGCTTCTAGGTTGGAGGCCATTGCTATTAGATGAGTCAACAGCTGAGGTACGAGGTGTCGAGTTTCGTTTCAACGCGGCGATGTGGCCGAATCTACTGGATATCAGCGGTCGGAGACCTCGAATCGACTCCGGTAGCATGTGGGTTGGAACCCAGGACCAGCTGAGCTACCATGCCGTTGGACATATTTACATCCTGGCGCTCTTGCCACTGATCCGCAAAAGCAGCGTTTTTGGCCGCGAGTTTGTCCAAGCATCCTTTTGGGGGGCAGGAGGGTTATATATATATTTTTTCATATATTTTCATATATATATATATATTCACTCTTCTAACCATGGATGAGTTTTCTTGTGCAACACACCCAAAAGCGCAACAAGTCTGAATCTAGATGGGCTTTCGAAGATTGGTTGTCATCCTCTAGCTGGCCAGACTAAAGGAGTCAGTTGACAAAGGAGTCAGTGCACCCATCCGGCACCTCAGATTCGACTCGCAAACCATGCTCAGTACTCAGTACTGCTTGGAAGGTTACTTGAAAAGTACATCTGCAGTGGAAACAGGTAATAGACCGACCCCCCACCAAGTACCACCAAACAGACCGTTGCAGTATAAGGCTTCATCTACCTCCCAAGCACGGACCCCATTCATGTAGTTTCAGACCGGTCATTGTTTTTGATTGGTCACCTATGGGCACCTCTGCGTTTTGTGTGATCGGAGAATGCGCAATAATTGAGCGGCCAAGAGCCTTCAAACGCATGCGGTGTCACACCCTCACAGCTAGTTTTTCTGGCAATTCCGGAGAACCTCGCTACTGCCTGGCGGGGGAGATGTTGATCTTCAAGAGCTAATTGTATTCTGCAGTGGGTTGGGCGGGTTGGTCGAGACACATCTTGACACCCAAGGCCCAAAGAACACATGACGCCTGAAACAATCAGGTACATGATCAACAATCAGCTGTCCTTCTACATTTACACGCCTCATGGCCTCAAAGTTCAGAGCCCAGGGGCCCCCCCTTCTCAAGGGGCCCAGGGTCCCAGGTTCAGGGCATTGGAGTTGGATGGTCCGAAGGGACGGTTCAGCCAACAACCGGGCGAGCGGAGGTCGAGGTCAGTGAGGTGGAGGAACGTACACTCAGCAAATCTCAGGCCTGTCCCAGAGGTGGAGGAATACACACACAGAGCAGTCAGAGGACCAGACCGGCAGTCTTTTTCTCTAGTTTGCTCCTTTTCTCCTCCAGACCGGCAGTCCTCGTGGATCGTGGACAACACCTCATGGACTCGGCGAACGGAACGGAACGGAAACGACGTCCCGACCGGTTCGTCCCGACGGAAGGTACTTAAACAGCTTGACCGGTTCGTCCCGTGGATGGACGAGAGGAGGGAAATGACCTCAGATGCTCTGCAGTGCGGAGGTACCGACATTTACAGAGCTACCGAAATCTGGTGCCTCTGATGTCGGACCCACTTGAAGGATCATCCTACTTGCCTTTTTGGGCTGACTGATTGAGACGTCCAAACTAGGTGCATTCACACGAGGTAAATGTATATTACTCAAGTAAATGATCTTTTTGTTTGGAACAAACTGCCACAGGTCTGGACAAGTAGGGCTTCCACTTCATATTCACGAACTCCTTGCTGATCTTCACCGCAAACCCTGGCTGAGGTTGGTGGATCCTGGCACCGTCTTTCTCTTCAAGGCCGCATCAACGATGATCGTGGCCACGGTGCAATGCACCTTTGCCGGCAAGGCGGGACCGGTGCGTCTTGACCGCTCCGGAGCAAAGGACCGGTCAAACACGTCACGTCGCACAACCTTCCAGTGAACACGTCACGTCACGTCTTCCATGTTCTTTTGTTCAACTTCTCATCCTTTTTTATGCGATTCCGGAGGCGAAACCCGCTCATGCAAACCTGCAAACCTGGTCGATGGCGATGGCCCGTGCGACGGGTCCGGGTCGAAGAGGGTCAAAGGGATGTTGCCATAGCTTCGAGGCGTTAGGCGTTGCCATGTGAGGATCTTAAGCTGTTAAATCAAAAAGCGATTTCCCAGTGGGATTTTGTTGCTGATGTTGAGGGTAGACTGCATAAGTTGACAGACCATTTTCGATTGAACACACACCAATCAAATAGTTTCGTTTTGTTTCTATTGGGCATAGAGATTGAATTGGGCATAGATGGAAGAACAATCAAGGTGCATTCACCAAGACGGTTCCTCATCAGTTTTTTCTTTGCCGCTTCACTTGGTCGGTCCTCTCTTCTTCTCCACGGATGGATGCTGGCCCCGCGCGCAGAAATTCTCCTGGGAGCAGTGGAAGGCGATGATGCTACAGGTGGGGCACAGTTGCTGAGAGTTTCTCCTCTGCACGCTTGCTTCGCCCATGTCAGACTTGTGGCAGGAACGGTTTTCCTATCATATTATAATAAAAGGTAACAAGGTAATCAGGTAATTCATGATTTGGCCATAATAGCTAGGGGACTCCCAATATTTGGAACCAGTGATCAACAGCTGTTGTGACATGATTGAGTATGAGGTGAGGCATGCTCCATGCAGAAATAGTAGACTTGCCATACTTCAGCAAGGTGCTCTCCTTCAAGGTGGTTGGCATATCCTTGCTGATATTTTCTTATTGGTCAACACATGGAAGTTTACAGTAGTGACTAATATGACGTATTCTCATGCCCCGAAATAGTCAGCAGTGGTTGTGAAGGACAATTCCCATTTCGTCACAAATGGGACTTCTTGCCGGACCGACCAACAGCGGCTTTGCCCGCTCGAGCGAGTGACGGGTGGTCAGGTTGGGCCCCAAACGACTGGCATCGTGCCTACGAAACACCGTGGAACATCCGAAGACCCGAAGAAGGAGGACGTGGAACATTCCTTTTTGGAGCGTTCTGACGGATTGCTGCGGAAAAACAAGACGTTTTTTTCTTTTCTTTTTCTCTGTGATATACTGTAGACTGTACTGTAGCGATTCTTTTCTTCAACCTTTACTGTTGCCCATAGGACTGTAACCGACACATAGAGGTTGATGCACCACAGTGCAGGCCTGTGGCATGATCACAGTGCAGTACGACCCCTGCAAGGGCGCCGGTGTGTGTCCCGGAGAAATATGCGACAGCATTTGGACGTTGGATGACACCATTTTGAGTCAGGGGATGAAGCCGCCACGGGGGACCGTTCCAGAAGTGGATATTTCAGGCTGGTTGTGTTCGGGAAGGCAGATCGATAGGTCAAGAGGAAGAATCGAGACATTGCAGACAAAGGTAGCAGATAGCAGTGACAAATGTTTGATCAACGGTAGTAAGCTAGAGCTGAGGAGAACCTTGGTTGACTGGTGTACTTGGCTGCTTGTGGAGGCTCAACACTGCGTGATTTTCTCTCCCCAGTCCCAAGGGAGGCACGTATCAGAGGCGAACAGTATCACCCGGCACGGCCTTGATTTGTTGATTTGCCTGATTGCAGTGCTTTCAGAGCAGATGGTGTGCGGCCAAAAGGTTTGGATCTCGAGCTAAGCACAGTCCACGGGTTGGTGCCACTTTTATAGTCTGTGACCACTTTATTTGTTTTGGCACCATGCAGCAAATGGTTGACACCTGCCCTATCCCGAACAATAGGAACGATGTTAACCTTGCACAACTAAGGGAGGAGTTCTTTTCAGTATGTTGCCTGTTGAGCTTTTTGGCTGATCTACGTTAACCTTCACATCCTACAAAGCCTTCCCATTCGCACAGTGAAACACCAAGGATCCCTTCCATGTGGAGGTCTGAGACACTCTAACTCATAGGAGTTTCCTGCCCTTTCCTCCAGGTTGAAGGAGGTTGAAGCACGGAGAACATGTTATGGGAATCATTCCAACCTGTTCGAATCCCAACATATGCCTAGTGCGCGCCAAGCCCTCAGAGATTCCGCCCCACCCCCGGCACCGTTCGCAGCTCCAAGGTATTCCGTCATGGCCTACACCCTGCTGTGTCTAAGCACAGCCATCACGGCGGTTTCGGCCGCCCGTAACGAGCTCCTGGACGACGGCGTTCCGCGGGCGGCGGAGGAACGGAGGAAAGTGCAGAACGGTGGTGGCGATGGAGTGGAAAGGCACTCAGAGTGGTGGCTTTTCTGAGAGCCATGGTGACTTTTCTTCATATGTGTTGCTGAGAGTGATGACTTTTCATCATTTTTCGTCTGCTTTAGGGACCGTCAAACTCGGAGATGCGGGGAATGGAATAACCACCAATTCATTCGACGGTTTCTCTCATCAACCTTTGTTCTTTTTCCGAAGGATCAGGTTCAGATAGGTGAACGCAGTCACGGGTACTTCATGGTATTTCTGATGTTCCTAGGCTCTTGGAGGCTGCTCCCAATCCCCTACTGGGTATGGGACGAAGTCGGTGGCACGAACCCGAAAACGTCACGTCCGCACGTCACGAGGTGCCAGGAAACTTGCTTTTGTGGTGAGTAATCCCGGATAAATCAGTTGCCCAAAGCTGGCTTTGAACGTGGTCTATGGGTTTGTGAACCTGTAGGAAGGCGGATTGACTCAAGCTCAGCTGAGATGGTGCATTCGAGCTTGGAAATGGTGCATGGTACCGAATGAACGCATGTAAACTCCCCTATTCAACTCTTGAAGATGGCATCACTCTAGCACTTACACTCCTTATATAGCCCTTAGGGCCCTTCGGTCTCTAGCAACAATATGGATTTGTATTTTAATGGTATTTGGTCTATCTCTCTTCTTCCAATGGGTGGAACTGGAGGTCTACCTGTTTTAATGGTCTTCACCCAGTTCCATTACTTTCGGCTCTTGAAACCACCAAAAACATCCAAAAACCCATTTGGTTCCGGGGTCCACCGCGGCGATCGCTTCGCTCTCGATGTCGCACAACCGGAGCGACCGGCGACTGGAGGTTCTTGGCCGGGAGTCTCAGGCCGCATCAGGAGAGGCACTTGGGTGAAGTTGTGTTGTATCCAGTCCAAGTGCCAAACGGATTGACCTTTTTTTAAAGATGAACATCTAGGGTCCGAAAGTGTACTCAAATCACATTGACATGCTTCTTGTTGTGGCTATTGGGGGACCACAGCTTTCACAAAGTATCCTTTGGCAATCACAATACCTCATGTTGGTAAATACACATTGACCACGACGACATGGTCATTCCGACATTCCTCTCGTTGGCACCGGCGGTTCTGGTTCGAGTCTGGACGATGCGTCAACCAGGTCGGTCTGGACGAACCAAAAGGAGTTTGTTGAACCCCAGGAGCTACTAGTAGCGAACCTTGTTCCTAGTAGCTTCTTGTTACTACTAGTAAGGCACTTGTTACTAGAAGCGATGCACTTGTTCCTAGTAGCGAACCTTGTTCCTAGTAGCATCGCACCCGACTCGGCCGATCTCACACGTCTGCGACACCGTTTCTTCCGGATCTCTGACCGATGTCCTCTGGTCGAACTGGTCGAAGTTTTCGTTGGGAGGCATCGTGTTTGGTTGGCTTTGGTCCGACTCTGGCGGAAGCCTGCGCAAACGTTGTCTTGGTGGATTAGGTGAAGAACTTTCAGATCACCCTGAACGTGCAGAATTCAGTGCTCTACTCAGGTGTGGTGGGTATATGACGTGAGGATGCATTCAGTGCTCGATTTTTTTCAGACTGGGTAAGCCTTGCATTGCTTGTACAGACCCTGACACAGGATCAGATGTTTGGTCCGTTTACCGAACGGAAGAGACGCAGCCAGTATCGGACCTCCGTGGCCCCCGGTTGGACATCAATATCCGTCCCAGTCATGGACCCTCTCAAAGGACTATCTGACGGTTGGGATTCCGGAGACCATCTTCCACTTTCATGATTGGATAGAGGAGTCTTTTTAATAGAGCCTCTGAAAAGGGGGAACAGCCTGAAAGAGGTGAGTCAATGCTCTACCCGTTTTCTGGTATTATTGAGCAAATCCATCCTGCAAGGGAATCCCGGTATGTCAGGCGTTTTGGTAAAGAGATGTAAAGTAAAGGGAATGTAGGGTGCTAGCCATATTCACCTGACTAAGAGGGTCGTTAGTACGGCCTTGAGGGATGTGGAGTGCTTCGGAGAGCGGGGAGGATTGGTTGCCGGCCGTAAGGTTTGCGGCCCGTCGTTCAGCGCAATGCATCGTTGTTGCATCCGTCCAGGTGGGGTTCTTTTCAATCTGTTTGCATTCCTCTTCCTTCCGAACCCCAACAACAAGGATGAGAACACCGGCTTCTTTGATGGCTATGATGCCCCTTGGACTTTGCTTTAACATGAGTTTTGGGATATGGCGGACATGGTTACCATGTGTGAATGGGTCAAGAAAACTCTTGCCTCCTTTTGGCGGTAATTCTGTTCCCTTTCAGAGTCTTCATCCAAGGACCCGTGGTTTTGCACCAAGATCCACGTGTGCAGGTTCTTTCCGGGAGAGATTCTCAATACGGACACCTCCTCCCTCTCTTACTGAACCCTTCCTTTACTGAAAGAGTGTGTAGTTGCAATATCCTTGAGTTATTTTTTCCAAAAAGGACTTGAAAAAAAGAAACACCCTATCAACATTACATAACATGCTTGATATGAGTTTTGCACGGTTTTGCACTGCACTCGGTCTCTTACGCCCCATCACTCATCTTGGACCCGATGCCGGCTTCCTTGGTCAAATGCTCACACGTCTCACATGCCATGCGGGGGTAGCCTCCAACCTGCCAAAGTGGTAGTGGTCCTACCAGCCTGCTGAACATCCCACGATGCCCACGATGCCCTGCTGAACATCCGCGCTTTGTCCATTGAGTTCTTGGCCATCTTGGTGGTGTGCTCGAATGCCCTGATAGGCCGGGCATCGCGATGCAGCAGACTCCAGCGACGATATTTGAAGGATTGAAGGATAAGACCGGAAGATATCATGTTGACAAGCGATCTTGGGCCAGTCTGGCAAGACCCAGGAAAACGGAGCAAGAACTAGTTCTACTTCTGAAAAACCTGAATTTTCGGTTGGTGATTTGCTCTACGTTGCCTAGAGGATAGGAATGAAATTATTGCAACCCTAGGCAATCCCTGTGCCAGCTGATGCATAGTATCAGGAAACAATACACCGAGTGTTGATAAGTCGAGTTTTGAGCGTACTGCAGTACAGCAAGCAGATGTTCTGGTTGATTTTTTACACTTTACCTGCTGGCTGCAGGTATTGTCATCACCGCCGTCTACAAGCATCTTGGAGGATGTTTCTCTTGATAGCTTCTTCTGATTTTGAAGACGAGAAGGTGAACCTTCAATTACGTAGACCCTTTCCTGGGGAAGTATACTTATACCACCTGGCTGGCCGGCCAACGATGTTAGGTTGAACATGTTGCGACATGGATTCGTTCAGGAGTCATGTCCAGCTGCTCTACATTTGTGGGCTTCCATTGAAAGAACGTTCCTAATATCAATGTAGGGCTAGGTAAGCCCATCGCCGGCGGATCCTGTTATCCAAGTTCAAGAGTCTGATTCGCCCAGTTGAAGCATGTTTATGCAGTTGTGTCGACCAACAGCAGCCTCTTGCTGCGGATCCACTGGTAGCAACGTGTGGAAACCGGTGCACTGCAGCCACTGCAGGTATGCAGATGCCGTGGTGAAATGCATCTGACCGGCACTAGTAGCGTCCGCTGCTCCGTCTGCTGCGATGCCAGGAGCCCCTAGTAGCTTCTTGTTTCTAATAGCTTCTTGTTACTACTAGTAAGGCACTTGTTACTAGAAGCGATGCACTTGTTACTAGTAGCTTCTTGTTACTGGATTGGGGGGAACGCCAGTTCCGAAGAAAGAATGTTGTGAGGAGATGCACAAAGCGAGGAGGCCTTGCAAGGTAACACCTCTTCTGGCCTTGTTGGCATGACGTTTCTCTACTCTTTTTGTCAGAATATGGATGTCATCCCAAAGGGGGTTTGTGCAGATGGCAGATGTTAGATCAATCTCTTGGACACCTTGTCCATTGGGCATGACGATCCAATCATAAACTCTTTTCCAAGCTAATTTTGTGTTAACTAGGCGGGCTGCTCACCCCTCGCCAAAGCTAGCCGATGGCCCGGCCCACTAGCCTTTCTGAGGTATTGCCAGTGATATCACTGCGGTGCTGTTGATCATTATCTCCACTATCTTCTTTGGTTTGACGTCATCTCTGCTCCTCGCCATCAAGTCTAGGCTGGACACCCTCCGAGCCTCCGAGCAGTGGTCCTTGCAGGCTGGATGCTGTTGAGACCTTCCCAGCGCGCTACTTGTGCCAGAGGATCCATCCAAGTCTCCACCTGTTATCTAACACCATGAGCCATGTTAGCTATATGAATCATAGAGCGGACGAGTCGGAGTATATATATATATAAAACATATTTTTTTTCATTCGCTTCATGCGAACCTTGTGCAACGAACGCAGGCACATCTCGTTTTGCGATTCATCATGCAAAGGGGGAAACCTTGTCATGGTCCTTCTTGTGATGGAATTTTGTGGCCTTATTTTGTGTGCCTTGTTACTAGTAGCTTCTTGTTACTAATAGTAAGAATGCTCCTAGTAGTAAGGCCAGGAGCCCCGTTCGTAGCGTCCTCTTTGGTCATGCGAATTTTGTGGCCTTATTTGTGGCCTTGACCTGCACCATCTGGCTGATGCGATGTGATGCCGACTGGCCAGGGGCCGAAGATCGCATCGGTGCCCTCGCTTGGACGGCTCTTCCGAACCGCCCGGCCAAGGACCATGTGGTGTGGCGTTTTCACCGCCGCTCAGAGATGTTTGGAGCTGCCTTGGCAGGGGGGTTTTCACCGCAGGCCGTGGGGGTCCACCGTTCTGGTGCGGTTCGTGGGGGCCACCTGAGTGGTGCCGTGTGAGCCAAGAGTTTCTCGAGTCAAAGGATGTTACAGAAGAGCTTTTGAAAGGGTCACGTGGTAGATCCAAACGGGTCGACACTGGCCACGACTTTGGGCAAGCTAGCTTGCTGCATCGACTGAAGCAGGTCGAAACAGTGAACGTTTTGGTGAGATCCATCGAATGGAACTTACTCATGCAAGCGGACAAGGTCCTCATTTTTTTTTTTTTAAATCAAGATTGGAAGAACAGAGAGCCACCGCCAGACTCATGTGGAGGTGTTGGAGGGAGAATCACTTACTTTCTACATGGTGCATGCTGCAATTTCAATCTATTTCACCCAGTCTTCTCCCCACCAACAACAACCTGCTGCGCTCTTAACCCACTTGGCGTATTCCAAGGTTACGTTTGCGGTGCACCTCTACATCGATTCCAGCGCAAAGGCAGCTGAGGCCGGCAAGGCCAAGGAAGAACGTCCCTCGGCATGGGAAGTGCTCCTTTATTTTTACTTTTTCGCTTTTTGCTTATTTTATTCCCCACCCGACCTGTTATGGGGGTAGTTACATTTCGGCAGTCGGCAGTACACCGGCACCCCCCGCTGCTGCAACGCATGATCCAGTGCAACGACAAACATAATGATAGGCAACAAACGATGACACAGACCACACACAATGACACCACCAAACATAAGCATGGACGACGCGATAGCAGACAAGAAGCAATGACACAGACACAATGACACCACCAAAGATCACCATGCCCCGACCGACCTGGTCCCGCCAGTGTCCTGGCAGCGTCCCGCCTGCGGCCCCACATAACGCCAGGCAACGAACAGTGACACACAGAACCACAACACTATACAACACCTGACAGAACACAAGGACAAACTCGGCTGACAACAAGCAATGACACAAGCAACCCAGGGATGCCTCGCCAGTCACCCAGACCCAGTTATCCTGTCAGTGTATGTGATCGCGGGCGGTGATAGTTCGAAGTAGTGTTTACAACATGTGGCATCATGAACTCCAGCACCTTCAGTCCAAAGAGCACCATCAGTCCAGAGCTCTGCCTGGATGGCCAGACTCTTCATACTTCCAAACGAGCAGGATGGGCATCAGGGAGCTGCCCAAACGTGAAAGGGGATCTGACCGAGTATTCCATGTTTTGTGAGAACAGCTAAGATGGTCTTGATCAGTTTTCATGCCCCCCATACTGTATGTCACATTATTGTTTTGGAACGACAAGAGGTCCTGAAGACTCATTCAGGTGAACGTAGCGAGGCAACTTGTCATCAGGCAACAGTCAGTAGGTTATGTGCGATCCCTTAGTCATTTGTGGTCCGTGGCCGCACACATTTGTCCAGTCTCGGTGATCACTTGAAATCCGCATACTGCATATTACTGCATCAAATACTTGCGAGATCACAAAAACAAACATCATTTCGAAACAAAACGACGATGCCCTGGCGGGTAGACCGCCCGTCGCCATGTCACGGAGGTTTCGACGGACGGACGGGTCTGAGGTACCACGCCGAGCGCCGGGAGCTCGGGAGACCGGATGACACAGTCTTCTGGGGACTCCGGAAGGACTAGCTGAACTTTCTGAAGCGGGGAACCTCCGGGGGTCCAGGAGTCCAGGGCCTAAAAGAATCACATAGAATCACCTTCCATCGCCCTACGCGGCGGAAGCTCGAAAGTCTTGGGTGTCCGGACGTTCCATTTGCGATGTGCAACAACTGGTGTTCTCGGTTCTTGCGCAGACTCTTTGGCCGAACTTGACGGTCAACAGTAAACGAGAGTTGGTGTTCCAAGTGATCTGAATCTGACCCCTTTCCTAAAGACACAGATCTCGGAACACCTCGACCGTCTACTGAGGAGGCGAATGTGACTAGCCAGGCCTGTCTGGGTGGGTGCTGAAAAGGAGGGCTCCCAAAAAGGCATGGCTAGACGACGAGCATGGCCAGATGTTTCAACTATACTAGAGGGAACCCCGAAAAGATGTCTTCTCGACGCAAACAAATTATCTCCTCACGTATTCAGGA